TATTGTGTACTATATGGACAAATAGTGCAATTGTGCAACCAATAAATTCATCACAGTATTTGCAAGAGGTCCGGCTGGTTAAAATCTATCCACTGTCCACTGATGGAGTCCTGAGTACGAAGCTGCTCGTGGCAACTGCAGCCCCAAAGCCACTACAGCAATCGCAGTCCCAAGCCATTACAGTACAGCTCCCCATATGATAAAAGTAATATAGTTACCCCTATATACAGAGAAGTCCATAATATAATGGGAAATTAAAATAAATGTCAATTAATCTCAGAAACAATGAGAAGTGGTTTGAATACCTCTGAGCTAACCTGACAGGATCTAACAACAGGGTCATGATAGTACCTGTTCATATTAGCTATCTAGCTAACATGAGCTAACCTGACAGTAACAGGTAAAATTTTTAAGGCTATAAAATAAGCTAACTTCACAGGCTTTCTAAATCATACTCACAAAGGTTCACAATCTTTGCTGCTAATGCTAGCTGTATAGCTAAAATAAGCTGAAAGGATTTCTAATTCATAAATGTCCATAATTTTCACTATTAGTGCTCTTATGATAAGATAACTTGACAGGTTAACTGCTAAATTCTTAGCCTACGTCTATGTGCAGTCATAAAACTATGTTTGAGGATCATTCAAAAACGTCTGAACTGCGTCTTTGTTTATATTTTGTCGAAATGTGTTTTTTTTTTGTCCTGTGAATTAAATACAATAGCGCCGTTCACATCCTTTAACAGTACCATGTGTATGAGTGAGCAGGTTGAGAGAGCTGTAACTTGTCCTGTGTCGCCCTCTTCAGGATGTCTAACCTTCTCAGTTGCACAGTTCTCTCAAGACACCTTCATAATTCTTCATTTTTGATGTTTTAGATGTTGTGAAGTTGTCTTTTCATGTTGTCATGTAGCACAGCTACAAGGCAAGGTGCTGTACTGTATAAATACTATTTTATACAGATGAGTTTCAGATGAGTTTTTGATCACTCAAAATGAGACAGTGTACATGTTAATTTGCATATTTTAACTGGAATTTACAGTAAATTATTTTGTGTATCCTTGGAGGACTAGTGGTTGGGCCACAGCGCTCTCACCACTGTGGCTGGGGTTCAACTCCCAGCCAGGGAACCGACCCCAGCCACAGTGCGCTCTTAGTGCTGGTCCCAAGCCGGAATTAGAAGTGTGTGTGTATGGGATTGTTTTTTTTTAATCATCACTGCTCCTGCAAGAATTCTAGCCAATTCCCCCACTCCTACAGGAATTCTGACCAATCACACCTGCTCCCACAGGAATTCTGACTCATTCCCTTCTCCTACAGGAATTCTGATCAATCTCACCTGCTCCCACAGGAATTCTGACTAATTCCCTTCTCCTACAGG